GGAGGAGCTGTACTGACGGGACCCACAGAGACCAGACAACATGGGAATGGCAGATCCGATGTTGTCGATGAAGGTGGAAGGAGCTGATATGACCTTCCTTGTGGACACTGGAGCGACCTATTCAACACTGAGACAAAAACCAAGCAGTACCACACTTTCCAACCATGTGGTCAGTGTTGTAGGCTTCTCTGGGGTACCGATGATGCTGCCAACAACTAATCCAGCCCTGACGGTGCTGGGAAAACAGACATTGAAGCACAGCTATGTTGTGTCTCCCCATGTGCCAGTGAACTTGATGGGCAGGGAAGTCTGCTCATTAAACTGGGGGCCACTATCATGTGTTCTGCTGATGGACTAACAGTTACACTTCCAGGAGGAAAAGAGTTTCCGTGCCTGGGGACATTTTCAAAAAACCAGTACTTGCTGAAAGACTGTGAACAAGCTACAGCTGACATTTATTGGGGTCGTGTGGTGGAAGAAGGCATACTGAGACAGTATCAGTTGTGGAAACCTTGGATCATGGCCTTGGCAGTATATTCTCTCCCTCGGGATCCGTACCACGTCACGCTCTATTATGATAGGAACGATGATGAAATTTATAGGGACCTGTTCCAGTCTGACATTGAAGGTCAGACCTGGAATGTGTGTTCTCAAAACATCTATGTTGGTCCCGAAGGCGTCGCTGCAGCTGTAAATTTAACCGAGGAACAACGGCCTTGGTTTAAAATGGGACCTGATTCAGTGCCCCACATTACATTGGCGGTCCATGAGAGTCATCAGGCGAAGGAGCTGGGAACAATGGTCAGGAGAGCCCTCGAGGAACCTGGTTGGCAAGCTACTCAAATTCCAGATGTTTGGTACTCTCCAAAATGCAAAATTTACCGTATCACTTGTCAATCAGAAGACACAGTGATTTTGGAGCATGAACAAATTTCAAGAATCCATGGAAGAGAAAGAGTAGACCATGCAGATGCAGTTGCCGCACTTGCGACTCTTCCTGACACTTTATGGTCATCAGGGCCTACAGATGTGGGTCTGGCAACTTGTTCGCCTGTTCTGTTCCAGCTGAAGTCGCAAACGCCAATTTGGAAACCGCAGTATAGGCAAAAGAGAGAAGCTGAGGAGGGAATCGCAGAAACCATTGAAGGCCTACTGACAGTAGGGGTGCTTGAACCCTCTCAATCTTGCTGGAACACTCCTATTTTGCCAGTAGAGAAGCACGGGACAGGAAAGTACAGAATGGCACATGACTTAAGAGCCATCAATGCCATTTTACGTACTGACACGGTGCCAGTGCCAAATCCCTACACAGCATTGACGGCATTAACACCAGAACAGAAGTGGTTTACATGTATTGATCTAGCAAATGCATTTTTCTGTCTCCCATTGCATGAGTCTCTGAGGGACATTTTTTCATTCACATATAGGGGGCAACAGTACAGATACACAAGGTTGCCACAAGGATTTGCACTCTCCCCTGGCATTTTCAACCAAGTGTTGAAAGAAGCTCTATCGCCATGCCACCTACCAGAGGGGTGTTCACTGGTGCAATATGTTGATGATCTACTCATTGCAGCTCCGTCTGCTTCGGCATGCACGGCAGCTTCACTTACCATACTGAAGAGGCTCGCTGAGTGCGGGTTTAAAGTCAGTAAAGAGAAGTTGCAGTTGGTCCGACCAGAAGTAACATTTCTGGGCCGTGTCATTGCTCACAAATCAGTGGGTCTGCTAAACACTCATCGTGATCAGATTTTGACACATCCAAAACCACGTATGGTTAAGGAGTTGCTCTCATTCTTGGGGTTAACAGGATACAGCCGGCATTTCATTCCAAATTATGCAGGCAAAACAGCCCTTTTGAGGGATTTGGTAAAAATGGCAGGTGTGAGAAATCTTAAGGCTGAACTGCCATGGACATCGGCCACTGAGTCGGCGTTTATCGCATTGAAACAGGATTTGTCAAGATCGGCTGATCTTGCTATCCCCAACTATGAACAACCCTTCTATCTTGATGTTTCAGAAACACACGGGATAGCAAATGGGGTGTTGTTTCAGAAAAAAGGGGGAGGAAGAGATGTACTCATGTACGTCAGCATTAGGCTGAGTCCTTTAGAGACAAGGCACCCAACATGCACACAGCATGCCATTGGGGTGTCAAAAATTATACAAAAGACAGCACAT